ACACACACACACACAATTTCTACTCTCATGAATTCATCATACGCGCACCCGAGCCGCGTTCAGCACCGAGGACAGCGACGCACCTCAGGCCGCGGCGGGACGCGTCAGGAATCCGCTGGAGCGGTGAAGTTGCAGCCCTGTTCTGAAGCGTTACGCCGCGTTATAAGCGTCGAATCGCGTCCAATCGCGCGGCTGCTTGTTGCTAGGAAAGACTGGGATGAAGATCGCTCACCTGCTGCGGCGGGAAGCGCGTCACATTCCTGTCAGCGGTGCGCTCCGCTCCTGCGGGAACGCTGCGGAGGGGAAACGGTGTTATGTGGTTGTCGGTGCCATGTTATTCTACGGGATTGATGCTGGAGACTGCGCGCTACATCCGGGCTGCTGGGAATCACGGCACCTGACAACCGAGCGGCTCGCGCTACTATGGCGAAGGCGTCAACATAAATATTCATGAGCCAGGCGTTCGCTATTGGACGAGAGCAGCGCGACGTCACTACCGACCACTTACAATTCAATACGTAAGACTTTCCATTGGAGGTTTAGAACGTAACGTCAACATTGTCTTATGAATTAATAATCACAAACGAAGCGTTCACTTGTATTAATTTAACCTTTGATTATACAAAATTACAAAAAAGTAAAATATTCTGTATTAGTTTTTTTTATCTGTCTGCATCTATATATCATTCGACAACATACTATAGTATGACAACCGCAGAACTAAGAACTAAAAAAAAAAAACATTCTATAACTATTTAGAATAATGGAACGTCTGTATTATCTAATATTTGTACTACATGGAAATTGTAGAAACATATTAAAAGCGTTTCATTCTGAGAGAAAATTAAAATAATAAGTCTCAATATATCCGCAAAACACAACCAGAAATATTTTGAGAATTTTGATGTTTTTAAAACATTCAAGGCGACGTCTTCGCTAGCAGGCTTCTTTGAGATGCGCCTCGCCTGAAATGTAGGGAGAGCAGGCGGCTGCAGTGAGGGGAGGAGTGAAGTAAGCGCAGGCAAGACGGACAGATCTGAGCTCTCGAAGTGAACAGATACCAACGAGATCAAAGGCAGATATCGCGTTATTCTCACTCACGTGCTGTGTTGCTTATAAACATGATATAATTTCAGTTCTGGTGCTTTTATATGAAAATAAATATGATGAACAAGACACTCAAAGTGCTTGCTATTTAATTCCATACGAAAGGTGTATTTATCATCCATTTTTACCGGCAAAGGACATAAGTATCGCTTTTTATCTCTCCTCTTTCCACTTCTGTTTCAGGTTTTTATAAACTATTTCTTACTATGTGTCAGTAAGTTGTTGTTATTTTAGCATGTGTGTTTGCCTCAGTGTTATTTTTTTAGGATTACTGATGAACTAATGTACTTTGATTTGTATTAGTTATCTATTTTAGTTTTAGTTACAGTTGTAGTCATGTTGTCATTTTATTAGTTTTTTTATTATGTCTATATAGTTTTTTTTATTAAGTTTTAGTTTTATTTAATTTGAGTTATTTCAGTACTTCAACATACAAAATGGAAATGAAATAATATATATATATTTAATGTATTTATACTGTATATATGTACATGTATATGTATATGTGTGTGGCTGTACATACACATATGTAGTTGTTTTTTGGTGTTTGGCTTAGTGTTATGTTAGAATCATTATTATACTCATACCTTTTGTTCTTTTAATATTTTGAATTGTTTTTAGCTTTGTTTTTTTGTTTTCATTTAAATGTTTTAGTTTTGAAATGTTGTTGTATGCATTTGTCATTTTTATTTAATTTCTTTTATTTTCTTAAATGTGTGTATATATATAGTATTTATAGAGTTTTAGCTTTTAGTTTGAATTACTTTTTCTTATTTGTAAGTCGCTTTGGATAAAAGCGTCTGCTAAATGACTAAAAGTAAAAGTAAAGTAAAAAGTAAGAGAACCGCAGCATCACGGGTGTCTGAACCAATGAGCATTAAGCTGTGACGTCAGTCAGTCGTTTCCCATCATGCTTTAGATCAGTGCAGTCGGTGGAGAGCAACTGCACAATCCGACACAGCCACCTCGCCATCGCGAGAGTTTTTTTGCACACGTCAGCATGACATCAGAGCAAGTCGGAGGTAAGTCGGACACTTTCTAACCGGCATGCATCTCGCGGTGATCGATTCTGCGCAGATTTTGCTCATCTCAAACAAGCCCATTGAAGGGGTCACTAAACTGCTGTGGTTAGCGTAATTAATATTCAGGAAAATAAGCCATCGCCATTGGACGGTAACAAGGCAACGTTGCATTATGTAATTAATATTCGTGAAGTAGGCCTAAAGCCATTGGAAGCTGACCAGTGAACGTCGCACGCTCTAATTAATATTCATGAGCGAGGCCTTCACCATGGTAGGGTTTGTAACGTCGAACCGGGCGCGAATCATAACGTGTTCAATGACAGATAATAAATAATCTCTCAGAGCTTCACGTCACACATTCGAATTCGCCACGTCGTAAAAACGTCGTTTTTGGGATTCTGGGATTATAAACTCCGACACACGGTACCGCGTCAGATCCGGGCTTAACGGCGCGAGATTCTATAAACACCGATGACACGTGACGCGACGCTCAATAACAGTTACGTGCATGACGTCACGACAAATAAATGTAATTGTAATCAGTTACAGTTACTGAGAAAAAAGTGTAATTAAATTACAGTTACTTATGAAAATGGTAGCGATTACAAAGAGGGTTACGTCTAAATATTTTCACACACAAACATTTAATTGATTTATTTCATAAATTGCACTGACTGCTTTAATATATGAGACACGAATGTTTCAGGAGTTCAGGACGCAGAATAGGATTTATGTTTATAGCCACATATTAGTTTAGAGCTGTTTAAACGCTGCTTGATCTGTGCAGATTTCTCTCCTGATTCACACCAGAACACTGACTCACTGGAGGAAGCGTTATTATGGATTATAGACTCTATGTATTTTAGCTGGAAACGATGGTTTGAAGTTACAAATGTCTTAAACCAGGAGATCCGGTCGTTCTGCAGATCTAACGGAAGAGTTCAGGGAAAGATGGCTTATTTTTCTGACCCTGTTGGCATTTTCTTTATGTTTCAAGCATATAAACTCACTTCATTGTGACACATTTCTCAGAAAACAAGACTTCATCTCTTTATCGTGCATCTCCAGTAAATGTGTCTTGTATGAATCTTTAGATACTTGTGCTGGAAGACAAGAGCAGCACTTTCTGCGTAAATCTGGACAGATTCATGACGGTGTGTAACAGCATCATCTTCTCAAACTGCTGGTTACCGTGGAAACCGCTGCAACACTGACATCATCCACACGACTGCATCGAGACGCACCAATGAAGAAAACAGCTACAAACTTTCAAACTGATTATTTTCTGTTTTCAGTAATTATATGAGCTACATGTCTTTCATCAAGGTTAAACTGACTGTAGAACAAGTGTTTGACTAGTAAATAAAGAGTTAGTGAATGTCAGGCAAATAAAGCAAGCAGAAGCATCAGCTCGGTCAATCTCATCTTCTATGATCTGGTTTATTTGCATTAAACGTTAAAGCATTAAACAGTAAAGAAATATAAACTTGTTTTCCCTTTAAATAAAGCTTATTTTCTTACCACACTGGCAGATATTTGTTCTTGTTTTAAGCATAAAGTCACTTCATTTTCAAGCATTTTTCAGAAAACAGAACTATATATTTTAAGTTATGTTGCATGAGGATGGTTGCATGTATGAGGAGACCGAGACCCTCGTGGTTCTGCTGCTCATCGACAGGTCCTGTGCTCCTCAGCTTCACTTCTAAACGCTGGAAGAGCCAGGAATAGCACTAATATTGACCGGAGTTGATGTGTTGTGATGTTGTAGATGTACAGCAGTTATTTAGTAAAGATCAATCGGTCATGGTTTGCTGTTCATCGAGACTCTGGACTATCACTGCTTGACCCGCAGTTCTTAAATACGGACACGTTTAGCAGTCAGATCACTATTTAGTACCGGATTAGAACGATGATCAGCTGTTTACATGTAACTTTAGTGCAAGAAAGAATTAAAATAACTGAAAAATATTAAAAGAAATACACTAATGGACAAAATGTGAATATCTGTTAAAATGTAATCGACTGCTGTGATCAAAGCTGAATTTTCAGCATCATTAAAGAGTTTCTATTTCAAATAAATGCTGTTCTTCTGAACTTTCTATTCATCTGTGAATCCTGAAAAACTCAAATGTATCACGGTTTCCACAGAAATATTGTGCAGCACAACTGTGTTCAACATTGATAATAATCAGAAATGTTTCTTGAGCAGCAAATCAGCATATTAGAATGATTTCTGAAGATGATGCTGAAAATACAGTTACATTTTAACAGATATTCATCTAGAGAACAGCTGTTTTAAATTGTAATAATATGTCAAGTCAAGTTACCTTTATTTATGTAGCACTTTTAACAATACAGATTGTGTCAAAGCAGCTTTACAGTATTAAATATGAAAATAGTGTCAATAATGCATCCATCAGTGCAATAATAAAACACAGCTAAAGTGCCGGTCACTTCCATCGTTTCGAGTCGAGTCGAGCTTTATTGTCATTCTGCTACATATAGTGGAACGAAGTGTCGTGTCTCACAGGACCACGGTGCTACATACTAGTTAAACAGAAATATAAACGTACAACAATAGAAGTATTAGAAAAACACCTATAGACCTACACTGCAAAAAATGATTTTGATATTTTTTTCAGAAAACAAAACATAATATCTTAAGTCATTTTACTTGCAAAATAAATGCACATTGATTCAAGAATTTTTTAAATTTTTATTCTAGAAAACAAGACAAAAATACTACGTAAGAACATCATTTTTGCAGTGTATACAACAGTTGACCATCTGACTATACATACACATAAACTGAGACAGTACAAGAACTTTACATACTGTTCATGAAATTGTGCAAAAAAGATATTTTGGGGGAAGCAGCGCATAGTGCAAGATGATTCGTAGTGCAGTGCACAAGTAAACATGTGATCATATTGAGTCTCTGTAGCAGGGAGTGTTTATAAAGTGTGTATGCACACTAGACACTCAATATGATCACATGTTTACTTGTGCACTGCACTACACAAGACTTCCATTCACATGCATTTGAACGTGAGAGACGGCAAAAGTTAGAGTTTGGTGAACTAAAGATATGTTACTAGAAGATTTATTCTTTGAAAAAAAGTGAGCAGACTCTACAGTATTTCAGCACTAATTGATTTAGTGGAATCTAATCAAATCAGACAGATGAAACATGGACAGGCTGATTCTCAAAAAACACCAACTAAACCACAGAAGATGAAAGAAAATCAAACAAGACA